TCTGTTTCTACAGATTTGTTGAAGATTAAAGCATTGCCCAAAATATGAGCATCAAAAAATTAGAACCAAGCAGTCTAATTGAATAGTGTCATCCAGATTAGTTACATTTTAAAAATTGACTGTTAATACTTATTTTGATTATCTTTAAAAATGTAAAACAGGTATGATGTTGCTGATGAAGTTTCTTTTCTTTCTGTTTATTTCTGTAGCGTTGACTTTCTTATGTTTTAAAACAATACACACACACATTCCCATGATAAATATGTCTTCATGCATCATTACTTTTTGCTACTTTATGGAACTTTATGATTACATTTTCCCTTTAATAGTGTCCTAGTTAGAAAGATGATAGTAAATACCTATTAGAAACTTTAAAGTACTATTCTCATTTCTGATATCTTTACACATAATATATTAAATTTGTAGATCCTCTATTAAAATGGTAAATATCATTTTAAGTAAAGTAAATGCTTTATATAAAATGCCACTTGTGTTTATTATTATTATTCAAATAATGCAAGCTCATTATAGAAAAATTATTTTAAATGTTAAGAAATAATTTAATTGTCCTTAAACCTGGGATAACACTGTTAATAATTTTCTCTGCTTTTATACACAGGGAATATATATGTGTACATATCTTTTTTTTTTAAATGGGATCATATTTTGCCTCCTATCTTTGTAACCTACACTTTTATTTCCCCATATACTTTGAACATCTTTTTATGTCAATAGGTACATATATATTATTATTCTCTTCTTTTGCCTTTTAATTCATTATAGATTTTTTACATAATTTTAAAAAGTGTTTTATTTTATTTAAAAAGTATTTTCAATTACAGTTGACATTCAGTATTGTTTTATGTTAGTTTCAGGCATACAGCATAGTGGTTAGACATTTATATAATTTACAAAGCGATCCCCTCTGATAAGTCTAGTACCCACCTGGCCACATATGTAGTATTACAATATTATTGACTATATTCTCTATGCTGTACTTTATATTTCCATGATTATTTTGTAACTACAAATTTGTGTTTCTTAATCCCTTCACCTTTTTCACCCAGCCCCCCAACCTTCCTCCCTTCTGGCAACCATCAATTTGTTCTCTATATCTATGTGTTTCTGTTTCATTTATTCATTTATTTTGTTCTTTACATTGCACATATAAGTGAAAATATATGGTATTCCTTTTTCTCTGAGTTATTTTACTTAGCCTAATACC